GCTCTTCCTAAACAGACTTCTGCCCCTTCCAGTCCATTTGTCATGCTGCGCACAGAAATAAAACCCTTATTTGCATTCCGTAGCTCTTAGGAGGGAAACAGTAACCGGAACAAGGCTGGCAGCCATCACCCAGCCACTGCCTGCAGCTCCACCTTTGTCTGCCCCTCGGCTGCTTGCAGCCTTGCATGTGCTCTTCACCCTCCTGGACGGCTCTCCTGCCTCCTCCTGCTAGTCGATGCCTGTTTGGCTTTTCCACCACACACGCAGAGAAGCCCCCTGGCTGCCCACCCTGCGTGTGTGTGCTGACATTTGCAGGACATGCGCCTGGAATGTCGTGTTTGGTTCCTGTCTTTCCTGCTAGATGGGGCGGTTCTGTGAGGGCAGGACCTTGTCTGTTCTTGTCACTGCCAAGCCCCTTGTCCTGTCCTGCTGTCTGGCTGGTAGGGGCTGCTAGTTCAGTCTCAGAGGGGATGTTCTCTGTCTCTTTAGGTTTTCTCTAGTGACTTCTTCCCTCCCTCCTGTGCAACTGCAAGGGTTCTCCTGTCCGAAAGGTCTTTCCCCTCTTTCTCTGTTACATATATCGTAGCAGAGGAGCTAAGAGGTAGAATGTGATACATGTTTTAAGAGAGTTGTAGGTGAAAAAGTATTAAGAAGTTAAGAAATTTATTCTACCGGGATGCATTCTTAACTGCTTTTTAGAGGAAAAAGAATGTGGGGTGGACATTGGAGGAAGGTTAGTGGACCTCCACGTGGAGGTGCTGCCAGGCAGTGGGACATGAGTAGAACATGACAGCATGGGGGCAGGTGGGCCTCAGCAGAGAATGAGGAGTCGTCTGATGAGGAAGAAGGAGAAGAGCATGGAGGGAGGACAGAGAGCGAAACCTGGGCTCGACTTGCATGTGTTCAGTTGGTCGCGCAGGTGGCTCTCCAATGACACATCCCTTTGTAGTTGTTCATGGTTCCCAGAAGGCGTTCCCCACTGAGTCTCCTTCAGTCATCGCACAGCTCTGTCGCTAGACACGCGGGTGAGGACATAGGAGTGAAAGTTAAGTGACATGGTCTGCAGTAGTCACACGGCTAGCGCTTGGCAGACCCCGGCGTTGAACCCAAGCCTTTGACGCTTTCCAAGATCACCGCTGCCTTCCCTGCTGGTCTAGAAGTTCATTGGCGCTTAGAGAGGTGACACAGTCGTGGTCAGTAGTCTAGAAGCAGGAGCGTGGAAGAGTGTGTAAGGGAACCCCCCTGCTCTGAGTCTTCATTCGAGAGGCGGCGGTGTCTGCGTCTCAGCCAGCCCAGGACTCTGACTGAGCGATCGCCTGCCACACCCGCAGCACCGTTCCAGGCCCTCGCTGCTCACTCTCCTTTGCTCTGGCCCCTGCCGGTCCCCGACTTCCGCTCCGGTCTCCCGTCTGTGTACGCCTGACACCTGTCCCGTCTGGGCTCCTCGTCACGGCCCCTGGCTCATCCGCCACACCCACCCCATACCCACCTGGGCTTCCGCTGTGCTCATGGGCGTCCTGCCCGTCTCACCCAGTCTCCTGCAAGGGGATTGCGGACAGGTTGGGTCTGACTGCCAAGGGTAGCATGTGTGCGCGGAAAGAGTTCAGGACTTAGTTCTTACACTCTTGAAGGAGGCATTGGCTATCAAGCAGAGGTGTGGTGAGATCAGATCTTTGTTTTTTGAAACATTGGGTACACGGCAGACAATGGCTATTGGCACATAGGAGGGTTGGGTGGCCTCAGAGAGCTGCAGTCACCCAGGGGCCTGGGGGAGTTCAGATTACAGGGATTTGGGGAGCAATTTGGAGGCATAAAGGCAGGAGCTGGGGATGGGGTTGCTCTTTCAGGCAGTTTGGCAGAAAGAGCCTGGGATGGGAAGAGGCCGGCAGAATCTGGTAGGCCTGTCTGCCGGTTGCGGGGGGAGGGTAAGGGTGGATAGTGTGCTGTTCCAGTGACACTCGCATTTACTGAGCTTAGTGATACCTTTAAAAACAATTTTGAAGTTTCTTAAGTTTCCCTTAAAATTTTTTTTGCAGTGGAGTCTTCCGGCCCTGTCAATAGGTAACCAAAATTCAAATGTGTGCATTTTGACCACACATAGTCACCCTAGAAATCGTTAGGTGCAAAGTTGCTGAATGCAGCAATTACCTGAGTACACACCCACAACCATTGCTGTTTCCTCCAGAGTTACACACTGTTGGATAAACTGAATTCTTGCTTTAGAATTTTCAGGTTAGGTGCATATGTTAAAGTTTTTCCAAGTGTGGAATGCTATGTAATATCTACAGTTAAGGGTAGAGATAAAAAGATGCTGAGGTGGTGAGCTAATTAATGAATTAATATTATGCTTGTAGAGAACGTCTCTGAAAACCCTGTTTATACCCAGAAAAGAATGTTACATCTCAAATTCTATAGAGTTGCCAAAATTGAAGATTTCTTGGTAGAGTGAATATAATTTATTATAGCTATATACATAAATTTGTCAAAATACTAACTCTTTTGAAATAAAAAAAGTAAGAAATGGAAGAGGGAATAGGAGAATCAATTAGAAGGTATTCTGCCTTAAAAGGATCATGAAATATCTAACCATATTGTTTCTGATAGATTCTGTATCAAAAGGGGTGTTATAGAGAAATAGGTCACTTCTAATGATCTTTGATTGGTTAGAGCATCAAGTAATAACTCTTTTGGAATCCTTGCTGACCTTAAAGTTGCTAGCTTGTCTGCCATCCTGATTTAAAGAAATTTTAGCCATGAGATAGACACTCGAGTATGTCCAGCCTGAGAGCAGTACTTATCACCTATTGGCCATGCACTATGTGCCAGCCTCGTATATTAACACATTTGATCCTCACGATAGTTCTGTGAGGTCAGCACCTTTGTTAAACCTGTTTTACATATGAAGGAAGTGAGGAGTTAGAGGGATTAGGACTGAGTCTACAATAATGAATGGGCGTGACTGAGCTGCTTCACTGTGTGAATAACAACGGACACAACACACAGAGGTTGTGATGTTCCAGGTTATTGGCAGCACATTCTAAGGGCCATTAGTGGTAGGCTGGATTTAAATTCTGAAGAGTAATCTAGATGAATTTATTCCTGCAGTAATAAGAATGTTTTTGCAGGAACATGAAACCTGTATGGAGGGTATCATAGGCCGTCTGATCTTAACTACTCATTGAATGAGAAAGTGGTATCCATTTAAATCATCCGTCTTGTCACCTACCATGTGCTGCCACTGTGCTGCATTCAAAGTAGAAAGAAATGAGTGCCCAGTGCATAGTTTCTGCTCAGTAAAAAATTCCTGAGCAGTTGAATGAACGTGATGCAGTTTCTAATCCCAGGGAGTTTATGGTTTAATAGGAGAGGTAAGGCTAGGTAACCAGTGTAGGGTAAATGTGAGTTTGAGCCCATCAGGCCAGGGGTAGGTGAGTTCCTGCTCAAAGAGGATGACAGGGTTATGGAGAGATGACGCTTTAGGGGACCCTCAGAGGGGCAGAGACTGGGAAGTGGCTGGTTGGGAAGGGCTGAAAGAGGTCAGTTTTCGGGAGCACAGGGAGGGTTCTTGCAGAACCGTGGAGGTTGGGCCCCAGAGAGTCCACGAAGGGCAATGGTGTACATGGGAAAGGAGATGGAGGCCTCCGCGGGGCCTCCCTTGAGTCTCAGGCTGAAGAATCTGTGGTAGCCGGCCAGATGCTTTGAGGAGGTATTGACTGGGCCTCTGTTTCCAGGAAGGCAGAGTATCGCTGGGATGAAGGGTGGCTTGGAGAGAGGAGAGACTGGTGGGGGCAGCTGGAGCCGTGGGTAGCATCTCTCCGTCAGGTGGACAGGATGATGAATGACGGCAGGCGGAAGTACGACAAGTCTGGTAGGTGGTTGGAAATTGGAGGAGGAGCAAGAGGAGTAAGAGAAAGCTTTGAGCTGGAAGCCCAAAGGAAGGGAGGCACAGAGGCCAGCTTGACGTCATGAGTTCGAGTGACAGTTACTCTATTTCTGAGCCCTCAGAGGCGTTGGATTTCCTACTAAAGGTCACTGTTTTGTTTTCAGCTAGAAACCAGTTGCATTTAAATTTCCGGCAGGTCGCCAGAGCACATCACGTCCACGCAGAGAGCTACCTGGTATACAATGTCATGAGCAGCGGGGAGGTCGAATGCAGCAACAGCCTGGAGGATGCGATGGACCAAGCTCTGCCCAGCCAGGCCTTCGTCTACCGCCCAGTGCGGCAGCGGGTGTACTCCCTCTTGCTGGGGGATGGCCAAGGTGAGTCGTGGTCTCTCAGTGACTGTGCTCGTGGAGCTGAATTCTGAGAACTAGCCAGACAAAGTAGAGTGCATTCTTTCAGGACTTGGGGTCTGTTTCTCTGTGAAATCTGTAATGGAGAATGCCACTCGCATCTGTGCAGAATAAAGGGTAAATGCCTTGGGACGTCTGTATCTAATTAGCAAGCATTTGACCCGTATTCATTAAAAGAGAAGTGCATTGTTTCTGTAAAATGTCAAGGTTTTTATTTTTTTCACTGCACAGCATATGGGATCTTATTTCCCCAACCAGCGATCGAACCCACGCCCCCTTCATTGGAAGTACAGAGTCTTAGCCACTGGACTACCAGGGAAGTCCCTAAAATATTGTATTTTTATGCCTTAAAAGGATTCGTACTTTTTAAAAAATGTGAAAACCCTTTCCTCCTGTAGGAGTGTAGGGTGTGTTTATTATTAGAAGACAGCGTCTGGTTACTCTCCCTCAAAATGTGAGTTTCGTAAAATGATTGTATATAATCATCATATTTTAAAATATAAACAAAATTTTCCTTTGGAGCTTTTGTAATTAAGTTTATGTTTATCCATCTGTATTTCAATTTCACAGTAGGAACAAGAGGATAAGGAGAGGACTGTCCATGGCTAGGCCAGTAAAATTGGGAGGACTTTCAACACCAGGAATAAAATTAATCAGACCCTGTAACTCTCTGTTAGGAACAGTCTGGGGGAATTGGGAGTGTCGGAGAGTGCTCTGTAGCACAGACTAGTGATGCTTAATGCATGCAGTTACCTCCGTGCAAGGCCTTGCTGACCTGAGGCAGGCTGCTGGAACATCATGGTCTGATCGGATGGTGCTGGGATGAGAAACAGAGTCTGGCACACTACTATCAGGGCAAGGATTGAAGCAGAAAAGTCCTGGTGAAAGGATGTCTGTGGCCCATTTGCCTCAACTCCATTATCTCCAAACCTACCAACATTACTATTAATATTATTCCAGAAAAGAAACATTTACATAATCTAAAGGTGGTGATAGAATCATCAGATTGAAGTGTTGTGATTATTCTTTTTTTGGGCAGAGGGAGTGGCAGGTCCTTTGTACCCAGATTTTATTAGATTCCCAGCACCACCCAGCATGTGCTGCCTTCTCCCATAGGTGCTGTGAGAGCTCAGACACTGATGTGGCCTAAGGAGGACATGAGAAAGATGTTTAAGCTGATTTGAAGACAGAAACAGAAGAACCTATGTAAACTTTGAAACCAAATATTATTGAAATAATTTTTCTATTTTTCTTATGTGGTTCTCTGCCCATATACTCTTTCTTAACGTGAATGATGGCACATTGACTCTGATGATTAAAGAAAAGATATCTTCATCATGAAAAAATTTCATGTTATAGAATAATATTTGCCTAGAATTATTTTTAGAGTATTTTGTTAAATGAGGTTAAAATATATAAATCTCATAACTTAAATTTCCTACTTTGTTAATGCAATTTATTGACAGCCATAGAGGTCACTTTACTAGATAACCACAATAACAGGAAAATTACTCAGATTGAACTTATCTTCACAACTGACCCTCACTCTCCTTTTTTCTTTCTCAACTTTTTGGCTTTCTACATGAAGTCTACATTGTTAGGATGTAAACATAAAAAGCTGCTGTTGCAGGTTTATTTATGATGAATATAATAAAGCGTATTCTATGCTGTTTGCTTGGCTTGGCTTACTATTGCACACGCACCTAAAAGAGATGTCTTTTCTATAGTTGAGCATGGTGTTCTATAAATGCTGGTATTACGAAGAGGGCTATGAGAGTCTTCCACCGACTTTCTGTCAGCTTGTTCATAGTTTTTAAGAAAAGAGTGTTGAAATCTCCAGATACTGTTGTGGATGTTTTTATTTATTCCCTTCAGTTCTGTTAGTTTTTACTTCAGATGTTTTTGAGGTTCTGTTATTAGTGAATGTACATAGAGGATTGTATGTTTCTTAATGAATTGGCTCCTTTAACATTATGAGATTTCCCTTTTTTAGAAAATCTGATCATATTCCCTATGTTGAAGCTGGCTTTGTCTGATACTAGTATACACACCCCACTTTTCTTATGATTATGGTGTATCTTCTTTCTGTCCTTTAACTTGTAAACTATTTCTTTATGTTGAAAGTATGTCTCTTTTAAGCAGCATGTATAGTCTTTCAATCTCTGTCTTTTAATTGGACTGTTTAGGCCATTTACACTTAATGTACTTATTGACAGTACATGTAATGTCTTCATGGGTTTAAGTCTTCATTTTGCTCTTTGCTCTGTTCTTTTTTCCCTTATTTTCTCCTTTTCTGACTTCTTTTGGATCAATTGAGTAATTTTTTATATTTTTAAATTTTTATTATTTTTTAATCAATTAATTTATTTTTGGCTGTGTTGGGTCTTCATTTCTGTGCCAGGGCTTTCTCTAGTTGTGGCAAGCGGGGGCCACTTTTCATCGCAGTGCGCGGGCCTCTCACTGTCGCGGCCTCTCTTGTTGCGGAGCACAGGCTCTGGACACGCAGGCTCAGCGGCCATGGCTCATGGGCGCAGCCGTTCTGCGGCACGTGGGATCTTCCCGGACTGGGGCACGAACCCGTGTCCCCTGCGTCGGCAGGCGGACTCTCAACCACTGCGCCACCAGGGAAGCCCTCTGCTGCTCTTTATTTCAGAAATATAATTCTGCTGGATGTAGAATTTTAGGTATTTTTGTTGGGCACTTTCAGGGTGTCATTCTGTTGTCTCTGGCTTGTGTTTCTCATGAGTTGACGATGGTCCTTCTGACTGTTGTGTCCACAGGTTGCAAGTGTGTGTTTCTCTGGCTGTCCTTAGGGTTTCTTCTTGATTGCTGGTTTTCAGCCACTGTTTAAGCTGAGCTTTGGAGTCGTTTCCTCTCTGTTTATTCTGCTTGCAACTCTTGAGCTCTTTGCGTCCATTTCTATTCCCTGTTGACTTAGAAAACAACATTTCATGAAATAGTGCTCAACTTTTTCTGTCTCTCTCTCTCACCTATCACTCTGGGCCTTCAGTTACGTGCCTGGTTCACACCTCACAGTGTCCCTCAGGCACCAAGGCTCGTTTTTATGCTTCTTCTCTCTGTGCTTCAATTCGGGTCACTCTTGTTGTTTTTGCATTTCCAGCGTCTTTCCTCTGCAGTGTCTAATCTGCTGGTAACCCATCCGGTGAAATTGTCATTTCAGATATTGTGTTTTTCAGCTTTTTACAACAATCTTGCATTTCTTTCTTCCCTGTCTTCATGTTTTCCTTTAAATCCTTAAACTTGTTCACAGTAGCTGTTTTCAAGTCCTTGTCTACTAATTCCATCATCCCTGTCATTGCTGGGCCTGTTTCTGTTTATTGACTTTTCCTCCTTATAATGTGTCCGCATATTTCTGCTTATTCTGATGTCCAGTATTTTTTATTGTATTCTAGAAGATTTTGGATCTGTGAAGGGTCTTGATTTCTGTCCTGTCGAGCAGTTCATTTACCTAATCCTTTCAGGGCTTGCCTTATAGGGAATTTCAGGAGGTAGAGTGGCCCTGCTCCTGAGGCTGGGCCTTACTGGGCTGTCACCCTAGTGACGGTGTTTGACAACGTCTCTGCACACTGGCCGCAAGGGCCCCCGTGTCGCGGATCCCTGTGCAGCTCCCGGGTCCGTCAGCAGGGTTCCCCATGGTTGTCTTGTCTGGCCTCACTGAGCTTTTTGCCCTGGACCCACCAGGACCTCGAGCGAGCTCCTCTGCAGACTTCTGGAGCCCTCTCTGCACGGCACCAGCTCCTGGTTCTGCCTGCAGCCCCTGCTGTCACGACAGCCTCGTCCTCTCAGAGAGTGGCTTGTTCTGCCGGGCTCTCCCGCCCTAGGTTGCTGTCTGCACGGTGCCTCAGGGTAAAAAGTGTCCACTTGGGAATACGGTGGCTTCTAGAGTTGTTGGAGAGGGAAGAGTCGTCAGCACGACTGCCCTGTCTCAGCCAACCCCACCCTCCTCTAGTGTTCCGGGTGCTGACGGAGTTGAGTGCTAGTGTGGTTCTTGTTCTTTTTTTGTGACAGTTTTCCCCTTGGAGAGTTTTATCCTGCATACATTTTTATACATTTTTCTCCCATCCACATGTCCGTTTTCCTTTATTGGAACTGCTAAGAGATGTTGCACTTCCTGGTCTGATGTTCTGTTTCTTCATCTTCTACTTCCTGGTTTGTTTTTACTGCATTTGGGGAACATTTCACCACTTCAGCGTCAGCTTTTTTGGAGAAGTGTCCTTCTCTCCTTCCTCTGTCCATCAGGGCCTTTCTCTTCTCCCTCCTGAAGCTCCTCCTGGACCGTCGAATTCCTGCTGGA